TTGGCTGAGGCTGGGCCAGACACAGGCCAGAAGCTTCATCCTGGTCTCCCACGTGGGTGTCAGGGGCCCAAGTACTTGGGTCGTCTTCCGGTGCCTTCCCAGGCACATTAGCAGGGAGCTGGATTGGAAGTGGAGCAGCCAGGACTTGAACCCAGGCACTCGGACGCCCACCCCTGCAGTTTTCTCTGTGAAGGACATCTGTTGCTTCCAGTCTGAGCCCTTTGGGAGTAAAGCCGCTGTAAATACTCGGGGACGGAGGGTTGTGTGCCAGTCGGTTTTCATTTCTCTGGGACAAAAGCCCAGGCGTGTAATTGCTGGGTTGCATGTTAGTTGCACATTTCACTCTATAAAACACAGCCAAATTGTCTTCCAAGAGTGGCTGTGCATGGCTACTTTAAAAAGTTCACAGAAAAATAGAAGTAAAACCTAAGTCTATTTTAGCGCAAAAAAAAATATCTTTGAAATCCCCGCCCAGGTTTTTTCAAAATACACGCTTTCTATGAGCTTTCTGGAGACCCCTTATCATACATTTCCACCAACGTTGTGTGGACTGGCCAGCGTCCCTGCACTGTGGCCAGCCCTGGGTGGGGTCCCGGTGTTTCTCTTAGCCGTTCTTAGGGACGTGTGAGACGTGGTGATGGCTCACCGTGGTTTGAATTTGCATTCCCCCATGGCCGGGGGCATCGCACGTCCTGTTGTGTGCCTGTTTCTGTGCGGAGACCCTCTCTGGGGAAATGTCTCTTCATGCCTTTTGCCCAGTTTCTCCTTGGATTGCGCCAGGTTTTTGCTGTTGAGTTTGAGAGTTCTGTTTATATTTTAGCTGTCACTCCTTTGTCAGATATGTGGGCTCCAATGCTTCCTCCCAGAATGTAGGCTTTTCTTGTCACCCCCCCCCCCCACAAGGTTTTTTCACAGAGCAATTTAAAAAAAAAAAATCTTGGAGGAAGTCCAGTTTGCCAGATTTTTCTTGTGGATTGTGCTCTTGGTGTCACGTCTAAGAACTCTGTCTCGTTGATCTGATTGCGACTCCTGCCAGCGTGCAGGCGTCCGGCCCAGCAGCTAGGCTGACGCTTGGGAGGACTGCGTTCCCTATCCGAGCACCCAGGCTCTGCTCTGGAACCCAGCTCCTCCTGCCCGCGTGCGCCTGGAAGGCAGCAGGCCATAGCTCTGGCACTTAGGTCCCTGCTACCCGTGAGGGAGACGTGAATGGAGTTCCGGTCTCCTGGCTTTGGTCTGGCCCAGCCCTGGCTATTGTGGGTCTTTGAGTAGAAAATCTACTGATGGGAAAATGTGTGTGTGTGTGCACGTGTGTGTGTCCCCACTTTTCGAATAATTTTCTTTTAGAAGAATAGCAAGAGTAGAGATCTTGCCTTGTTCCAGTCTCTAGGGCACGTGTGCAGTCTTTGCTGAGTCTGTTAGCTGTAGGGCTTCATAGATGCTCTTTATCAAATAAATGCATTTCAAATAAATAAATCTTAAAAAAAAAAAAAAAGAGTTACAGAGAGGGAGAGAGAGAGCTCTTCCATCCACTGGGTCATTCCCCAAATGGCCCCAACTGCCAGGGCTGAGCCAGGCCGAAGCCAGGAGCCAGGAACTCACGTGGGTGGCAGAGGCCCAAGCCCTTGGCCATCCTCTGATGCTTTTCCAGGCACACTAGCAGGGAGCTGGATCAGGAGTGGAGCAGCCAAGAGTTGAACCAGTGCCCATAAGGGACGCTGGCACTGCAGGCTGTGGCTTTACCCGCTATACCACAGCACCAGCCCCAGTAATTAAGCTTTAAATATTGAGCCTGTGTCGAGGCCATCTGGGAAGTTAAGCAGCATACGGAAGATTCTCTCTCTCTCTCTCTCTCTCTCTCTCTCTCTCTCTTTCTCTTTCTGTTGCTTTTTCAAATAAATAGGGGTCGTTGCTATAGTGCAGCAGGTTAAGGCAACTCCAGCACCCCATGTGGGCACCAGGTCAAGTCCAGCTGCTCCACTTCCCATCCAGCACCCTGCTAATGCGCCTGGGAAAGCAGTGGAGGACGGCCCAAGTGCTTGGGCCCCTGTACCCACGTGGGAGACCTGGAAGAAGCTCCTGCCTTCTGGTTTCCAATTGGCGCAGCTCTGGCCTTTGCAGCCATCTGGGGAGTGAACCAGCGGATGGAAGACCTCTCTCTCTCTCTCTCTCTCTCTCTCACTCTGCCTTTCACATAAATAAATCTTCAAAAATAAAGGTAAATAAAGAAAAATAAATAAATAAAAACTAAGAATAAAAAGAGTTGGTGGGCTGCAGCAGCCAGAGCCGGCTTCTGTCGGTGGTGAGAAGGGCGGTTCAGCTCTGTTGTCTCACAGCAAACACCTCGTCTGCGCCCGGATCACGGTGTGTAAACAAGGCTTCTGTGCGTGAGGGAGAGGACCCGGCGTCAGGGAGCCTGCGCTGGCTGTTCCGACGCCGTCCACGGTAACCTCTGCCCCCTGCTTCCTCTGACGCTGCCACACTTACCCGTACAAACGAAAATCAGCAAAAATCAGCTTATCCCGCTTGTAGCCAGTTTCTGATTTTCCCCCTTTGAGCAAACGGTGTGTCGACAGCTGGAGGCATGAATTCACCCTGCTGCACGATGGGACTGGCTGTCCTTAGACCATGCCCGACGTCTGGGTCTGCTCCTCGAATCCCAGCGTGTGCCCCTGGGGGTCTTCAGAGTGTGCGATTCCCTAATGAGTGTTTTTCTAAATAGCATAACCGTTGAGCCTGTCCTGCACCGCTGGACCACGGTATACTTAACTGCTGGTGTTTTATGAATTACATTTACGGCATTTCAATGTATTGCTGTAGTCTCCTCCTCGTTAACGATTCTTGTTCCACATTCATGAGAGAGGTTTTGGATTTTTGATGTTCAGGTTTTTTGGTACAATCTTTGGCTGGTTTTGGTACCAGGGTAACACTGGCTTCATACAGTGAATCAGGAACTGTTCCCTCCTTTTCTGTTTTGGAATTGATGTACTTCTTTAAAATCCTGGTTGGGGGACAAGCATTTCACCTTGTGGTTAAGATACCGCATCCCACGGCCATGTGCCTGGGGCCACACCCACCCCCGGCTCCTGACTCCAGCTCACTGGGAGACAGCAGTAAATGGGTTCCTGCCACCTGCGTGGGAGACCTGGATTGTGTTCCTGGCTCGCAGCTTCCCGCCCAGCCCAGAGGTGTTGTGGGCATCTGGGAAGGGAACCAGTGGGTGGGGGCGCTCCCCCACCAAGTTTGGTAGAATTCTCCAGAGAAACCGTGTGGGCCTGAGTTTTTGAATATGAATTCTGTTTCCTTACTAGCCGTGGGCGTCAAGTGTGCGTGTGGGGTTGGTCTGTAGTAATCCCTCGTGTGCTGGGTCTGTAGTGCTGTCTCCTTCCTGACCTTGGCCGACACATCTTCTCGTTCTCTTTGTTGGTTTTGTCAGAAGGCTGCCTGTTTTATCCGTTCAAAGAACCGACTTTGGTTTCCTCCGTTCTCTCTATTTTTCTGTTTTCGTTTTCATTCGTTCTGTTTCTCGCTTCCTTCCTTCTGTTTGCTTTGGGCTGCTTCCTCTTCTTTCTCTGTGTTTTAACACTTCCTGTTTTTTAATTTTTAATTGCTCACTGAAGCATTTTTTGTGACGTCCTGCCATCAGGACGTCAGTGCCTGCTGTGCCTCGTCACCGAGTCTGAGAGCCCCCAGTTCCTGCCGTGTGGCCCGTCGCCGAGTCTGAGAGCCCCCAGTTCCTGCCGTGTGGCCCGTCGCCGAGTCTGAGAGCCCCCAGTTCCTGCCGTGTGCCCCGTCGCCGAGTCTGAGAGCCCTCAGTTCTTGCCATGAGCCCGTCACCGAGTTAGAGCCCCCAGTTCCTGCCGTGTGGCCCGTCGCCGAGTCTGAGAGCCCCCAGTTCCTGTCGTGTGCCCCGTCGCCGAGTCTGAGAGCCCCCGGTTCCTGCCGTGTGCCCCGTCGCCGAGTCTGAGAGCCCCCAGTTCCTGCCATGAGCCCGTCGCCGAGTCTGAGAGCCCCCGGTTCTTGCCGAGATGACCGGTGTTTGTGTGTTTGGCCCTGGGCTTCGGGGTAGGACGGGATGGAATCCTGTTGAACCTTCAGTTTGAGCAGGTTTCTTCTGGTCTCGCTGCTCTGCCAGGGGAGGCAGGGCCTCCTTGTCATGGCCAGGTGTGGGTGGACATCCAGGTTCCAGGCTGGGCAGTGCTGACACCAGACTGGGGGCGGGGAGAATTGGAGAGCCCCCCTAGGCCTCCCGTGGCCACCTGCAGGGAGGAGGGGGTGGAAGGGGGCAGGCCTGGACTTCCTCTGATGCCCCAGCTGGGGGTGTTGGCCCCCCTCCCCGAGCCCCCTGCTGGAGTGGAGTGGGGGGTGGTTTTCTAAGCTGCTCTGTCGTGTTGCGCACCCCCTTTCCTAGGCCTTTGGGGGGGCTTTCTCTGCACGCTGACTTCTGGCTCCTTCATCCCCAGGGCTGCAGATGTTAGAGGAGGCGGTGGGGGGGGGGGGGGGAGGAGGCACCTGCTGATCCCATTCACGGCCCCTGACCCGCCCACCTTTCCCCAGTTTGTTTACGTGGGGCGTGCAGCCTGTGGGGGGGGCCGGGGAGCCTGGGAGTAGCGGGACCACTGCCTGTCCCCCGAGAAGGGCAAACATCCCGGGCAGTGTGGGATCGCCCAGGCCCGGGGGTGGAGGTGCTTCGCAGGTGTCCATAGCCTGACGGACGTGGCTGTCTACATGGTAGCTGGACCCCGCAGAGAGCGGCTCCGACCGCTGTGACTTGGGGCAGCTTTTCATGCGTCTCGAACCACTCCAGACCTCACGGCTCCTGAGGCTCGGCTGGCCTTGTCCCTGGCCTCTCCAGGAGCAGGGTGGGCAGGGACAGAGCACCCAGACCCTGAGAAACGCAGGCCTGCCGGCCGCTGGGGTTGGCCTGAGGCCTGCTCGTTCCGGGAACAGCAGGGCTGGAGGCGGGGAGTCCGGAGGCTTGACCCCTGTCTCCTTTGGAACAGGAGGACCACGACGCCATGGAGGCCGACCTGGACAAGGACGAGCTGATCCAGCCCCAGCTGGGAGAGCTCTCGGGCGAGAAGCTGCTGACCACGGAGTACCTGGGGGTAGGTGCCACAGGCGGGCGCCGGCGACCTCATGTAACGCCGGGTTCACAGGGCCGTCCCAAAGCTGTGTGGATGAGGCCTGGGTCACCTCAGCGACCACGACCAGAGGGCTGGGGGTGACAGAGAGAGGCCCGTGCTGAGGCCCACCCGTCCACCCGCGCTCTGTCCTCGGGAAGACTGCGGCCCATAGGGAAGCCGCAAACGTGTGGCTGAAGCCGTCAGAGCAGACGAGGGTGCTCCCCAGCTGGAAGGGGGCAGGGGACGGCCAGGAGCCGGAGCAGGAGGCGGGGCCCCTGGGAAGGTCCCCTAGGCACCTGCTGGGGACTGCAGGTGGCAGACAGGGACACCGGTGTGCCAGGTTCTGGCAGGGAGGGGCCGGGAGCAGGGCGAGGGCCAGTCCAGACCGCAGCCCCGCGTTGATGGCAGAGCTACAGGCCGTTGTCATTCAGAAGGGCTCCTGGTGGTTGAGCAGGTGGGTGTCGGGGGAGGGCTGGTGCAGGGGGCCTTTATGGGTGGGACCTGGCCCCTCCCCTCACCGCTCCCCTGGGCTCTGCGCCCTCTTTCTTGCCATCTGAGAAATGTGAGGGCTGCAGGCTGGCATGAGCACCTGCTGCAGAGCCTCTGCCTGGAGGCACAGCCCAGGGCTCCATCCCGGGCGTCGGCAGGTTCCAGGAGGGCTGAACACAGGGGAGCGACCGGCTCTGACTCCTGCTTCGTGTCAGCGTGTGTTCACCTTGGCTGTTTGGTGGAGGAAGTGAGGCTGGGGGCGGGCACCGCCTGCCGTTGTCCTCGGGAGTCTGCAGGAAAGGTCAGGAGGGAGCAGGTGCGGCGTCCGAGCCGTGACCGGGCTTCGTCAGAGACGAGGCTCCGGCTGACAGGCCGGGCCTGTGTTCAGGCGTCCGCAGCTGCTCCTGCTGCGTGGGTCGGTGACAAGGAAAACAGGAGGCGACCCTGGGGGCGGGCACGTGGCGGCTCCCAGCTCCACCACGCTGCCGTGGCTGTGTGTGCCCAGCGTGAGCGAGGATGTTCGCCGTGTGTTTGTCAGACAGGAGCCTGGATACAGCCCCAGTGAGTCAGTCGTAGCCTCTGCACAGTGAGCCGGGGTGGGGGGGGGGGGGGCTTAGCTCCGAACAGCAAAGGGAAGACGCGGAAGGTGCTGGAACAACAGGTTGAGTCTCCCTCGTCCACAACACTTGGGACCGGGGCTGTTTGGGATTTGGGACTTTGGGGGGGGGGGGGCGGGGGGTGTTTGCATGTGTGTGATAAGGTATCTGGGGAGTGGGAGCCCAGCCTGTCTGCTTCATAGCTGCCTTACACGCTGGCCTGACTGAGGGCCCTCTGTACGAGCTTTCCCGCGTGCCTGCATCTTGAGGCAGCCCAGCACCGGAGGCCGGGTCTGCCCCGCCGTGTTCCGGTTTAAAACCTGGGAGCCTTTCAGTTTTGGTCCCACAAACCAGTGAGGTGCAAAGGACAGAGCTTTGGAATCTGCCTGTGGCCCTGGCTTCATGGCGTGCCAGCCTCTTACCATAATATGCAGTTCCAGGTCTCCCTCATGTGCACCTGCTACCCTTTTAGCCGGAGAAACACTGTGACTCCCTCGGGAAGGGGCTCCACGTGTGCTTGCCCAGCCCACTGGTGTCGGTTCCCACGGGGGTGAAGTTCAGAAAGAATCCAGGCACGGATGTGAACCCCAAGTGTGTTTCTTCCCCCCAAGGCCACAGCGGGAAGGAGCCACCGGCGGGTGGCTCGGAACGGCAGGCGCTTGCTGTCTCCCGGGCTTAGGGCGCGGAAGCCTCGCACCTGCCACACACCCCAGGGAAGAATCCCTAGGTAGGAAGTTAGGAGTCAGAAAGTGGCCTCTGTGTGTGCGGGAGGAGCCTCCGGCCGGCCGGGACACAGCCCGGTGTTTCGCCAGAGTCCTGCCCATGGCCTGGTAACTTTGCAGATGGCCCCCAGCTTCCCCCCAAGAAAAGCTCACAGGGGAGCTTGGCTCAGCACCAAATGCACCCCCAGCCTCATCACCTTGGGCAGTAAACCCAAGGCAGGCACCCTCCGGGCAGCTGCCCTGCCCCGTGCCTGCTGAGCTCCTAGTCCCATAGCACTGAGTGCTGAAACCATGGGAGGAATCTCACCTCATAAACACTCAGCAAACCCTTTGTCCAGGGGAGGAGGGGGGAGGTGGAGGACAAGCGGCGGGAAGAACAAGACCCCCTTCCCTTAAAAGCCCCAGTCTGAATACAGACGCGCGCTCAGCTCTCAGCTCTTTCCCAGGCCACCTGCCCAGCCTCCCAGGTGTGTTTGCATTATACCCCGTAGCCTCGCCTTCCCAGGCCGAACGGCTGGGCGCTCTGGTTCCGTCTCGGGGGGTGCCCGTCCGTCCTGACCAATGCCCTGCCCCGTTAGGCCTTGCCGCCTTGCTCACCGCTGCTCCTCAGTCTCACACCCGAATTCTTTCTTGCATGAGGATAACCTACCCCACGCATCTCCGCCAACACCTGTGCTCTGCCAACGCCACGCGCCGGTCCCTGCCTGCCTCTTCCCAAGGCCTCCCCTCTCTTGTCATCCCACCTGGACGGTCCCGGCTGACCTTTTCCCAAGGATCCCAGACTTGATCCTGGCCGTACAGACCCCTTAGTCCGTGAGGGGCCCCGCTCACAGACTCCAGGGGCAAGCACACGGCCGCGTCCAGCCCACGCCACCCCCGGGCCGTCCTGGGACCTGGTGGGTGATTGACTGCTCTTAGGACTGTTAGCAAACCGCACATGGAGGTGGTCTTGGGGTCACGTGGGCATTCCCCCGCTGCCGTGGCCCACCCATCCTCCCGGCCTGCTGCCTCTGTGTGCTGGGTTGGGGAGTACACAAGGGGGTGTCATGTGCCCAGAGGACTCCAAGTTCACAGCCAGGGAGAGACCCCACCCAGAGTCGAGGTCAGTGACTTAACATTCACTGGGGAACTGCGTGCCTGAACTGCAGCAGAAGCCTTGTACTGATGAACTAGGCACGGCAGCGTTTTCAAATTGAGCCTAAAGATGTTGGCTTTCTGGAAGATTCTGCCTGAAAATTGTATTCAAAAGGTTTTTTAAACCTGTGCTATTGGAGCCGACACTGTGGTGCAGCAGGTTAAGCCGCCATCTGCAGCACCAGCATCCCACATGGGCGCTGGTTCAAGTCCCAGCTGCTCCACTTCGGAACCAGCTCCCTGCTAATGCGCTTGGGAAAGCAGCAGAAGATGGCCCAAGTGCTTGGACCCCTGCACCCACATGGGAGACCGTAATGAAGCTCCTGGCTCCTGGCTTCAGCCTGGCCCAGCCCTGGCTGTTGTGGTCATTTGAGGAGTGAACCAGCGGATGGAAGACCTCTCTCTCTCTCTAATTCTGCCTTTCAAATAAATGAATAAATCTTTTTTACAAAAAAATTGCAGAAGAACACATGAAACAGAACTGTTCCTGTTGAGCATGGTCAGCGACAGAAGTGGCCGGTGAGTCACAGCGGGCCCCACACCGCCAGCGGGAGTCAGAAATAGAGCCAGGCCCCGCCCCGCGCCTGCCACCGTGATCCTGTCATTACTGCCGTCCACACCGGTGATTTAGAAACCAAGCAGTAACTCGAGGCGGCGAGTGGCGGGGCAGCTGGGGCGCCTGCCAGGGCGTGCAGGGCTGGGGGAAGCCGTCCCCAGAGCGTGCCCCCTGCGCCCCCCCACAGCCACCCTGCCAGGCGAAACACGCAGCTCCTCTGTGCCTCGGAGCCCAGGCCCTGGGAAAGGCTGGACACCGCAGAGATCTCGGGAAGCCGGTGACAGAGCAGGGCTCCTGTGAGCCTGCCAGGCGGCGGCAGTGGTCGTGTCCGGTGTGTCACCCGCCCACGATGGTGGTGAAACCGCGTGACGTGTTCAGTCTGTGGACAGTGACCGTTCAGTTGCGCCGAGTCACCGCCGAGCGTGTGTTTCTCATGCTGAGTAATCTCTGGCTCTTCGAGAAGCAGTGCCTGACTTCAGCACCGTCCTCCGAGTTCCATCCTGTTCCCTTTCCTCCTGCCAGACTTAACCGGGGCAAGCTCTGCCAGTGTGGCCATTTTGTAGCCGAGAAAACCGAGGCTAAAAGCGGGCACTGTGGCTCAGCAGGTTAAAGCCCCAGCCTGCAACGCATCAGCTCTAGTCCCGGCTGCTCCGTTTCCGATCCAGCTCTCTGCTATGGCCTAGGAAGGCAGTAGAAGATGGCCCAAGTGCTTGGGCCCCTGTGTGGGGAGCAATCCGGACTAGACTAAGTTACTCGAATTAAGACTTATTCTATGCATCTGCTCTCCCACAACATGGCGTTGGGAGAGAAGTAAACAGCTTCCGCACAGCTGCCTCCAGTTCAACTAATAAACTGTAGGACTTGCTCCTGATTGGAGGAGAGCAGCGTACTCGGCGTGTGGGCAGCCGAGTTGGGATTGGCGGAGGAGGACTATAAAGGAGGAGAGAGACGGCATGCACCAGGAACATCTATGGGGAACATCTAAGGGAACCCGTGCAGCCCCCGAGAAAGCCGGCCGGCGGTGTGCCGCTCCCCTGCGGAAGTGGGGAATGCGGCCAGGGGGAACTGCCCTTCCACGGAGGTGGAAGGGATAGCAGCCAACCCGGGAAAAACCAGCAGCAAACCCGGGGAGGGCCGAGCAGACGAAAGAACAGCGCAGGGTCCTGTGTTGCTCCTCCACGAAGAGGGGGAGCGACACCCCTGCACCCTTGTGGGAGACCCAGAAGAAGCTCCTGGCTCCTGGCTTCAACCTGACCCAGCTCCAGCCGTTGGGGCCATTTGGGGAGTGAACCAGCAAATGGAAGACCTCTCTCTCTCTGGCTCTACTTTTCTCTGTAACTGTTTTTCAAATAAATAAAATTATTCTTTAAAAAAAAAAAAGAAAAAGAAACCTGAGGCTGACAGGGGTGAAGCAGCTCCCCCCACACAGTATTTGAGCCCACGGAGCCTTCCGGAAGTGCTGGGGATTTGGGGAGAACCGAATGCCATATCTGAACCTCAAGAGGCCAAGGGCGTGACGTCATCGTGATGAGTCCAGCCCAGCTGGAGGGGGAGATGCCTGCTGCGGATCCCCCGCCTCCTTGCCAGCACCTTCTGCCCCTGCCGACCCAGGAGGGCAGGGGCTTGGGAAAGCTGGGGTCTCTGGCCTCACCTCCAGAGACCCCAAGTCCCTGGCCATGGCCCCTGGAGTCTGCAACCGCCCACTTGGGCACTGATGGAGCCTCGGCCAGCCTCGGTCTCCCGCCTCAGGCGGCACCGCAGGGCCAGCCCCTCCAGGTGCTCCCCGGGGTCCCACTGCGCCGTCCTTCGTGGACCTGGGAGGCCAAGCACTGGACGGCCCCTCAGCAAAAGCCGAAAGCAGACAGGGAAAGGCCGCAGGGTGTTTTTATCAGGCTGTGTCCACTTTGGGGCATTTCCTGATCACTTTTTTTTTTTTTTTTTTTTTGACAGGCAGAGTGGACAGTGAGAGAGAGACAGAGAGAAAGGTCTTCCTTTGCTGTTGGTTCACCCTCCAATGGCCGCCGCGGCCAGCGCCACACCAATCCGAAGCCAGGAACCAGGTGCTTCCTCCTGGTCTCCCATGCGGGTACAGGGCCCAAGGACTTGGACCATCCTCCACTGCACTCCCTGGCCAGAGCAGAGAGCTGGACTGGAAGAGGGGCAACCGGGACAGAATCTGGCACCACGACGGGAACAAGAACCCGGTGTGCCGGCGCCAAAGGTGGAGGATTAGCCTAGTGAGCTGTGGCGCTGGCCTCCTGATCACTTTTCAGTCATTACTGGGGCTCTGGGGTGTTTTCTACTGAGAGAAAGGAGAGAAGAAGCCCGTTTACGAAGTCCACGCGTGCAGAATCTCTCGCTGCCGTGTCCACTTGAACGGTGTCCGTTCTCCTGGCCCGGGGCGGGGGGCGCCTTTGACACGGGCAGTTGTAATCCCTCGTCATCAGGAAGGAAAGGGGAGACTGGAGAAGCCTCCTTCCACCCAGCTGTTTTCCAGGTGCCTTTAGCGCAGAATAACCCTCGTGCCGCGGTGGCACGCTCCGGAACGGCTCCTGCCGACATCCTGTCCTCCGAGCGTTAGGACGTGGAGGCATCGAGGTCTTCCCGTGCGTGGAGGCTCCCAGGGGCGCTGCAGAGCTGTCCTCCTGCCGCGGCTGCGCGCCCAGTGTCTCCTCCGGTAACCTGCAGGTTGCCTCTGGGCATTCGAGCACCAGGTGACACGAGAGGAAGTGTCACAAGGGCAGTCCAGGTCAAAGCACGCAGCGGCAAGAAGAGATGGCGATTAAATGCTCCGTCTGCAAACTTTGCCCAAACGCACGACCACGTGAACACGTTGCTAGGGCCCTCCTGGGCTTCCCAGCTCAACCCTTAGCCCCGGGGCAGCTCCGCAGATGGCCCTGCCCCGTGCTCTTTGCCCTGGGTTGTCAGGTGATGGATGAGGGGCAGCGCTTAGAGCACCCGCATCCCGTGTGGAGGTGCCTCCATTCAAGCCCCAGACCCATTTCCCTTTCCAGCCTCCGGAAATGCACACCTGGGGGACAGCAGGTGGGGCCTCAAGTCGTTGGGTCCCTGCCACCCACTTGGGAGAACCGGGTTGAGTTCTGGGCTCCTGGCGTCCACCTGGCCCAGCCTTCGCCTCTTCGGGCATTTGGGGAGTGAGCCAGCAGATGGCAGATGTCTCTCTGTCTCTGTCTCTGCCTTTCCAGTTGAAGATGAAAATGCTGATGGGGGATGCGGCTCCGGCACAAATCCGTGATAAGTCAGGGAGGAGGCTGCCCCCTGCCGTGCTGGCCCCAAGGCCGCCTCGGTGACCTCCACGTGGCCTCGCTGGTCAGAGCCCAGTCACGTGGCCTTTGCAGTCCGGCACCCTGGGGGGGTGACTTTTTCAATAGACTCATTGCTCTGCCAACAAAATCAGTTCTGTTGGTCAGAAGGGAGAGGGGGCATTGGATGGCCAGCTCTGCCTGCTTCCTCTCCTGCGGTGTTTTCCCTGCATAGGGAGACAGGTTGATACATTGTATCCATGTTTTCTTAGGAAAATTCTTACTGCCTCATAGCACGTCAGAATTTCTTTGTGAGTCCCGTATTTTCAAAAATACTTTTTTTTTTTTTTTTTTGCCTAAATTGGCACAAGTTGACCAACTTTTACTCTGGAATGAATTGCATTCAGATATGCTGCAGAGAGAGTGTGTGTGCGTCTGGACATTCGTGTATACATGGGGGGGACAAGTGTGTGCGTCTGTGTACGTGTGTGTGTGCATGTTTGTGGACGCATGTGCACATGTGTGTGGACCTGTGTGTATGTGGCCGTTTGTGTATGCATGTGCGTGTGTGGACATTCGTGTACATGTGTGTGGACGCTCGTGTGTGTGCAGGTGTGTACATGTGTGTGTGGGCGCTCGTGTGTGTACAGGTGTGTACATGTGTGGACGCTCGTGTGTGTACAGGTGTGTACATGTGTGTGGACGCTCGTGTGTGCAGGTGTGTACATGTGTGTGGACGCGCGTGTGTGTGCAGGTGTGTACGTGTGTGGACGCTCATGTGTGTGCAGGTGTGTACATGTGTGGACTCTCGTGTGTGTGCAGGTGTGTACGTGTGTGTGGACGCTCGTGTGTGTACAGGTGTGTACGTGTGTGTGGACGCTCGTGTGTGTGCAGGTGTGTACATGTGTGTGTGTGGACGCTCGTGTGTGTACAGGTGTGTACGTGTGTGTGTGGAAGCTCGTGTGTGTGCAGGTGTGTACATGTGTGTGCACGTCCGTGTACCTGCGTGTTTGTGTATGCATGTGCGTGTGTGTGCAGGTGTGTACGTGTGTGTGGACGCTCGTGTGTGTACAGGTGTGTACGTGTGTGTGGACGCTCGTGTGTGTGCAGGTGTGTACATGTGTGTGCACGTCCGTGTACCTGCGTGTTTGTGTACGCATGTGCATGTGTGCGCGTGTGTGTACACATGTGTGTGGTTAAATCCGATGCTTGCTAGTGTAGCAGAACCTCCCTTCAAACCCGAACTCCGTCTGTAGCCTGGTGGAAGCTGCTCCTCTGCATGAGCGGGGGTGGGTGCCGGCCATCCTGTCTCCCAGCCCCTGAGCGTTTCTGAGCCCTCAGTCCCTCTCTGGCCACAAAGGCCCCCAGGCGCCTGGGCGGGTGTCTGATGGCGCTGCCTGCAGGCACGCAGGCTCCACCCAGACTTCACCAGTTTTGTAGTGATTTCTTCTTGGAACAGTTTTGTTCTTTTTTTTAATTTTTTTTATTTGACAAAGTTATAGAGAGAGAGACAGAGAGAAAGGTCCTCCCTCCGTTGGTTCACTCCCCAAATGGCCGCCACAGCCAGCACCACGCCAATCCGAAGCCAGGAGCCAGGTGCTTCCTCCTGGTCTCCCATGGGGTGCAGGGCCCAAGCACTTGGGCCATCCTCCACTGCACTCCCGGGCCACAGCAGAGAGCTGGCCTGGAAGAGGGGCAACCGGGACAGAACCCGGCGCCCACATAGGATGCTGGCGCTGCAGGCGGGGGATTAGCCATGTGAGCCACGGCGCCGGCCCCTATTTAAGGCTTTAAATAAACGTTTTTCTTCATAACCTATTCTTTACCAGTGTAAATGGGCAACTGTTGTGTCAAGTGAACATGCTGTATTTTATTTAATTATTCCCCTATTACTAAACAGTGAGGTTGTTCCAGTTTTACTCTGTAGTGAACAACCTTGTGTGTTTAACATTTTCCACATTTTGCATTATTTAAGATTCACTTCCAAGGATACGAACATCTCTGTGACTCTTAAATGGCAGATCGCCTTCCAAAAGAACTGTCTCCGGGAGCACCCCCGTCCCACATGGCACTGGCCGGGCTCAGTCCCCAGCGCCGGTCCTGACTCCAGCTCCCTGCTCATGCGGATCCTGGGAGGCAGCGGCGATGGCTCAGCACGGGAGCCCTGGGCTGAGGGCCTTGTTCCCAGTGTTGCCCTGGCCCCGTCCTGTCCTATCCGCTAATGGGCATTTGAGAAGTGAACCAGCGCGTGGAAGCTCACTCGCTCCCTCTCTCTCCCTCTCCCTCTCCTCTGTCTCTGTTGCTCTGCCTCTCAAATAAATTAATTTTTAAGTTTTTATTTTTAATTCCCTTAAAAAAAAAAGTATCCCCCAAGCAGTAGGTGGGGTAGTCTCTGAGGCATGTGATGGGTGAGGCTGGCCCCTGTTTGCAGAGTGGGGGTTTCCAGTTCCTGCTCACTGGTGGTCTCACTGCTTGCTCTGGGCAGGGCTGTTCGCATTCTTTGCCCAGTTACCTGGTTTCCACTCCCTGGAGAGGAGGCCGCTGCCCAGTGAACGTCTTCACCTGTCATCTGTTAGCTTTGCCGCACTTTGCGTCCCTGCGTGGTGTTTGCCTGTTGGTTTGGCTTACATGTGTTACACCCCACACCCCACGTGTGGAAATGGCACTTTTTTTTTTTTTAATCAAATCTTTCAGGCTCCTTTTCTGACTTTCAGAGTCCGGGTCTTTCAGGGGTGGAATTAGTCAACTGCTTGCTTCCATCGTTTGTGATTTGATGTTTGTATTCGTACTGCTAAGTGGTATAACACGCAAAGCCCGAAAGCCCCCCCCCCCCAACAAAATTCCTAGATAATCTGCCGGCTCCTCCCTCCTGTACTTGCAAATTCCCTTATCACCACGGAGTGGCTGACTCACCGAGTGGATTCCTGCAGGGGGAGGCGGGGTGGGGGGCTGCCTGACTGCTTCTGAGCCCCCTCCCTCTCTCCTTCCCAGATCATGACCCACACCGGGAAGGCGCGGCGGAAGGGGCCGGCGGGCGTGCAGTGGGGCGGGGACGAGCCCCTGCGCAGGCCGGTCACCCCCGGCGGCCACAGGAGCGGGGGCCCAGCGTGAGTCCGGGCCCAAGGAGGGCAGGAGCTGCTTTTCTTCGGCTTCGTTTTGTTTAACTGCCACGTAAGATGATGCACAGATTTTAAAATGCAAAATAAAGCATTCGTGTTGAAAGCATTCATTACTCCTCTGTGGGGGGTTTTGGAGGGATGTGGTCAGGCCACGGGTTCCCCAGGACCACGTCGGGAGGCGGCTGCTGGCTCCTGTCCCGTCCCTGGTGCGGCTCCCACAGAGCACCGGGCCCGGGCTGGGACTGGGGCGTCAGCTTTGATGACTTCGTAAAGCAGCCCTGCGCGGTGGTAGCTGCCAAGCCTCGTTCGTTCTCCGTAGCCTCACATTCACCCCCCGACACGAGTAAACCTCAGTGGGTCCCGCAGGAGGCCTGGGGGCCGGGGCGAGGGGCGGGTTGTCCAGTGGGCAGAGTGCAGCCCGCGTCCTGTGGCGCCTGTGTCCCTAAGCCAGGGCTTAGAGAGCGCCGCTGGGACCCGTGTGCGTTCATTCAGCAGGCAGCGGCCAGGCCGGCCAGGCCGCACTCCGAACACCACGGCTCTCTTGGCCGCGCCCTGCAGCCGGGCTGTTTGGTTGTTTGCAGCTGGACTCTGTAGTCATTCTGCCGTGATCACCCTGGCACTGGGGATTCAGCAGCAGATACGACGTGCAAGTGCCAGCCGGCACGGAGCTCCCGCCACCGGCACCAGGGCACCGGTGTCCCGGCACTGTGCTGTCCTGTTGCCCTTCTGGGATTTGCCCTGTAAGCGTCTCGAGGCCCACCCCGAGGACCAGTGCTCGGAGGTCGGTTTGACTTCTGAACCAGTGGTGTACGCTTCTGTGTCCAGGGGTTTCATTGTTAGTCACCGAAGCTCGAACTAAAGCCCTGCCGTTTCCTGGGAAGCCTGCAGCCGGTGTTTTTTAACCTGCGAGAGAGGAGCGAGGGCTGCGGTGAGTGCTTCCGGTGTGCGCGGCGCAGCAGGTGTAGCTGACATACAGGTGCGTTTGTAAATGCTTCTGACGCACTGGAAGGAAAGCCGCGTGCTTCCCTCAGGAACCCCAAAGCCGGCTCAGGGGTAGCCACATGACCACCCTGAGCGCCTGACCAGCAGCGATGCTGGGAGGGTGGCGCAGCCCCCCCCCCCCCCCATGCATCCCTGAGCGGCGTTCATATCTGCCGGCTTTGTGTTCTGCCGTTTCATTTTTGATCCAGAATATAGCCAGATGTCAACTACTTAGGAAATCCACTTTGTAAATATACATTTTATAATGGAAGTAGCAATAGAAACAAATAGATTTACCTTACTTGACAAGGGGACAAGGACAGCAAATCGTTGTAAAAATTATGAATGCCGGTTCATGTCCCGGCTGCTCCACATCTGACCCAGCTCCCTGCTAATGGCCTGGGAAAGCGGTGGAAGGTGGCCCAAGTGCTTTAGGCCCTGCACCCACATGGGAGACCCGGCAGAAGCTCCTGGCTTTGGCCTGGCCCAGCACTGGCAGTCACGGCCATCAGGGCAGTGCACCAGCAGATGGGAAGACCTCTCTGTCTGTCTCTCCCTCTCTCTCTGAAACTCTGACTTCCGAAATAAATAACTCTTTTTAAAAGTATTTTAAATATTTCGAAAAATCATTAAACTTATTTTTGCTTCGCAGAGGCAAAAACATGGCATGGATATTTTTAATCAGAGATGAGGATAATGGGAAGCCAATAAATGCAAGACCTGACCACTGGGCAGATGTTCTGTGTGGGAGAACTTGGGGACCGGCCTGGGAGCTCCACTGGCTCGTCCCCTGATGCGGGGGCTGGGGGGTCGTCCCCCCAACCCTCCGGGCGATGCAAGCCCCTCACTGCCGGCACCAGCTCCCTCCAGGGGCCTCTCACCAGCTCTGAGCCAGACGCCGGCTGAGGTCGTGCAGGGAAGCCGATGGAGCTGCAGGTCCCCGGCGGGGCTAACTCAGAGCAGCCCAGGACGCTGGCCGGCTGGTTCTGTTCCGCCTGCACCCCTGGCATGCGCCTCCGGCAAGTTTGTGCGCCTCTCCATCCAGGGCCGCGCCCTCCGCCCTCTGGGACCCCAGCGTCACCTGTGTGGATGGGTCCGGGCGCTCGGGCCTCCCGGCGACTCCCACACTGTGTCCTGCACGGATCTGAGACACTGGGACTGTCGGAGTCGGTGTTTCCACTCATGGGATTTTATTCTGGGAATGAGTCAGGTGTCCACAGATTCAAGTGCACCGGTACTTGTGATACTATTTATAAAACCAGAAATTACCTACGTGCCCGGAGGAGGAAGCTGGTCACATAAATCACCGTGTGTCCACGCTGATCAGTGTTGGAAATGTTTTAGAAGAATCACAACTCAGCAAGGGCCTCGCAGGATACAGCTATGCCAAGTGGAAAAGCAAATCATAAAAGGGCTTGAGTGAAGGGGCCAGCGCTGTGGCGTAGAAGGTTAGGCCTCTGCCTCAGTGCCGGCATCCCATGTGGGCACTGGTTCGAGTCCCAGCTACTCCACTTCTCATCCAGCTCCCTGCTATGGCCTGGAAAAGCAGCGGAGGATGGCCCAAGTCCTTGGGCCCCTGCACCCACGTGGGAGACCCAGAAGAAGCTCCTGGCTCCTGGCTTTGGCCTGGCCCAGCCCTAGCAGTGGTGGCCATTTAAGGATTTAAGGAGTGAATCAGCGGATGGACGATTCTCTCTCTCTCTCTCTCTCTCTCTCTCTCTCTCTCTTCTCCTTGTCGTTCTTCTCTTCCTTCCTCTCCTCCTCCCTCTCTTCCTCCCCCTGCCCCCTCCTCTCTTTCTCTCTTTCTCTCCTTCTCATCTCTTCCTTTCAAATAAATGAATCATTTTTTTAAATGGGGGTTTGAGTAGAGCCAGGCTGGGCCCACACAGTGATCCCAGTGGGTGTTTCTAAGTGTCTGTTTGCGTTTGCTGCAAGGTGTTCAGGCCTGGGGTGGGGGTGGGGGGGTGGGGCTGGATCTCACGTGCGCTCACCTCAGTGGTCGGCTCTGACTTCACCGTCAGGAAACGCTGGGCTGAGCGCAGGATTCAGCCACGGCCCAGCCCCAGCCCGACCCTGCGTGGCTGCTAGATCCCCCCACCCCAATCTCCCTGCAGACACCCCCTGTCTCTCTCCTCCCCCCCCCTGCCTCCCTGCCCCATCCACACTGCACGTGCAGCTTCCCTCACCCCCTCCCTCCCTGCCCCACTTCCTCTGCACGCACAGCCCCACTTGGGTTGCCACTCGTCCTCACCTGCCACTGCCGGTCGCCACTGCCGGACTCCCTTGGGTATGGGTCCCAGCCTGGTCCCTGCCTCCGCTGGGGGCCGTCCTCTGCCACCCTCCCCTCCCTGCTGAAGCCCTGAGCTCTGGACACCCCATCTTGGGGCCTCGTCCCGTTCCCATGGGGCCCTGGTTTCCCAGATCCAGCCCGGCCTCACCAGGTGTGTCTCCACCGCCGCCACACGCTGCCCCCTGCGCCCCCTGCGCCCCCTGCCTCCGGCGTGGTTGGGCAGCCCCAGGCCAGCGGGGTCCGAGCTGGCAGCTCCGGCCCTTCCTCCTTGCCCACCGCCCACTCCTGCTGCGCCCCTTTCGCCGCCGTCTGCGTCCATTTTTCAAAACTAAGAACACGGCCTTTTCCTTTCCCTGCCTCTACACCTGCTCACTTCAGAGCCCCCACTGCTGAGCGCCGCGCTTCCCCGGCCGCAGCAGACCCGGGACTGGGTGTCATTGCCTGTCCCTGGGGTGGTCCAGGGTCTGGTCCTTGTCCTTGTCCTTGTGTCGATCTGAGATTGACGTTCACAAATTGCCCTTGGGGGACAGGTGTCGGGCCCCGTGATTAAGACGCCAGGGCCTAGGTCCTGGCCACACTCCTGATTCCAGCTTCCTGCTGGTAGGACCCTGGGAGGCGGCAGGTGATGGCTCAAGTAATCGGCTCCCCACCCACCCACATGGGAGACTGAGACCTGGATGGAGTTCCGGGCTCCTGGCCCAGCCCCAGCCTTTGTGGACATTTGGAGAGTGAACCAGCGGATGAGAGTCCTGTGTGGTGTGTGTGTGTCCGTGCCACACAAGTAAACAGCGATTGTAACACGAGATCCCATCCCAGGGCAGGCACCTGGTTGCCACCGTCCGTCGCCCACCAAGCCTCACTGTAGTAGGTGGCTGATGTCCCTTGTCGAAGGACTTTGTGCTCTGCTGCCACGGGCACCACTGGAGTCCTTGCTGTCTGTGCCGACCCCAGGAGCCTGCCCTGCTCCCATGAGCTCTCCCAGCCGACCCAGGTCTGGCCCAGTGAGGCTCCCCACGCACATCTGCTGGACAAATGCATCTCTGGCAGGCTGGGGGCCGGTGTTAGGCGATGCCAAGGAGTCTCCTGCGTGCGCCATTTAGACCCTACTCTGGGCTGGCAACGTGTGACACACCTGACTGGATCCGTCCCCTCACTCACCTACTTCATCCTTGGAGAAAAACCGGAAGTCTCGTTTAAGCTGTCTGGTTGACGTGTCAGCCAAAGCCACCAGGCTCAGCTGTGAGTTGGACACCCGGAGCGTGGGGTCTCTGAGCTCCCTGGTGCTAACAGGGTCAGCTCCGGGCTTCCACCAGCGTCCTGAGAAAGTTTCTTATCCGCTGATGCCAACTGAACAAGGATTTGAGCCACGTCTGCCGGCCACGCCACATGGGAGCCGGCAGCCAAGCAACCCTGACTATCCGCATGTTTATTGCTTTTTTCCGTGTCTTCCTGCAGGCTGGAAATCATTGCGTTTCTCCCCCGCCAACCCAACCTGCCAGAGATGGCTGCCGCAGGCCCCGTCGGCTGCCCACTGGCCCCTCTACAAGGAGGGCAAGCCTGGTGCTTCCCGCTCACGAGAGCACTCAGCGTGCGGGCCCAGCTCCGGGGCTGGGAGCCCCGTGGGCTAAGGCGAGCAGGGGCCGGAGCTCCCAGAAGCCCCTGGGGCTCAGCCCCAGCCCCAGGTCCAGGGAAGCTCATGGCTTTGGTCACGCGCCTGGCCTGATGCTGGCCTGTCCTCAGATGCCCTGCTCGGAGAGCGCTGGCCGCCGAGCTGTCACGAGCTGCTGGGGAAAGCCGAGCATCACGGAACTCCGCCAGGTCTTCCTGCACCCTGT